GCACTATCTTTAAAATACTGATTTTTAAATTTTGGGCTAGAAAAGTGGGGGGCGTCTTGTATATGGGGGCGTCTTATTGTCGGAAAAATACGGTATACACACACACACACACACATACACATACATACATACATATAGTTTTTAAAACAGAACCAGAAAGAAAACAATACAACAAAAATTACTATCTATGGGCTTTGCAAATGTGTATATAAGATTTTTTTACATAAATTTCAATAAGGCATGATTGTACCCCCTTGTATTCCTATATAATCTATATCTGTAAGCAATTCATTTATAAATTGCAAATAACATCAAGGCTTCAATTCACTGAGTAACTGGGGCCATAAATTAATGTTTCCAATGCTGAAGGACCAAATCTTTTAGCAATAAGAAAGGCACAGAGAATCCATTTCCTTTGTCCAGCCAACAGTTTTCAAATTAAAAGGATTTAGTCCAACAAAATATAACATGGTTTTAATTCTTGGACTCATGATATATGCCTACCCTCCACCAATATTAGGCTTTGTATCAATGAATTGAAAAGCCAGACCAATATTACCCCAATTCCTTAAAAGCAATTTGAAAAAGATACAATCAATTGATGTAATCTTCTGTGCACTACAGTACTAGATAATTCACTCAAATTGTAGTCCTATTCATAGATGTTTAGAATAAACCAGTTTAAACACAGTAGTTTATTTGAGCACAAAACATGTAAATGATTAATACGAATTTTATAACATATACTGCATAAATCTGATAGTAAAATATAAGAAAGAAGGGCTCTCATCCCATTATTACAGATAAAGTACCTGTAAGAATCAGGCTATGAGGTACAGACTTCTGCTATTAGAGCTTGGCTGAAGAAAAGCTCTCTGGAAGCCCGGGGAATGATTTAATTGTAAGTTGAATGAGGTGGCATTCTCCCTCTCCTCTCCTCCCTTTGCAGTTAAAAATAGATTCTGTACCACCACCAATACATTTTGCAGCAGATCTTGGTTTAAACACAGAAAACTGCCATTGTCATATTTTCTTTAGCCTTCAGTGCCAAATTCACGTGCTCTCAAAATTAGCCTTCAGCATCTTGCATCCATTCCTGTTTGTCTTAATAGGGAGTGCAATGCTATTTATTAATATTTATGGGTTGCCATGAATGCTGGCTGTTAACAACTTTATAGAAATACGGAAATATTTATTTCCTAAAATTGTAGGCTACTGGAATAAAATTTGCATTTGAACTGACAAAAGTAAAACTTAACAGACCAAATTTTTATCTCCTCAGAAAAGGGAAGCGTTGCTTTTTCTTTGAAAGGTCTCCTAAATGTTGGGCAGTTCCATGATCTCTATTGGTCAGGCTAATTGAAAGGGTGCATTATTACAACTATTCACAGTGTATCAATATTAAAACCCTGGCTCCACTGCACATAGGACAGAACATCCTTTTATCTGCCAAGTGTGCCATTCCCTAGAGATGACCTAGGAGGATTTGCATGCTAGGAGAAGCTTGGCTACCCAGTTTCTCTCTTTTAGCCACTTTTATTTCTTCCTCCTGAAACTGCAGACTGCTCTGCCTAGATGTCTGAGCTGTTTGCTTGCAGAAAGCTTTTGAAATTAGGTTGAAAGTGACAGGATCCCAATACCTGCTAAAATCTTAAGATAAAAGAATATATGAGTTAATTCAAGCATCATTTCAAATCTACAGGTTTTGCCCTCTTAAGAATGCTTATGTTAGCCTATTTATTTTACCAACATAGTTTTGCCCACCCAGGGGAATGGGCCATATGGTATCCAATAGGGTCGTCTTCCATGGGTGTAAGATCCTAGTGGTTGGGGCACAGGAAGATCACTGAAGCACTGCTCAACTTCTTTCAGCCAACGAGAGGATGATTCATGCCCCCTCTATTACTCAGAATCTGTGCCCCAAGCCAGGGGGAGGGCTTTGCTTCTTCCCAAAGCATTTTCTTGCAGAATTACACACGCCTAATCAAACTGCATATGTTTCAGAGTTAAAGCAGCAATACTTTATTGACAGAGTTTCTAATTGACAGGCACTCATTCTGCCTAGGTAGATACAGTATCCTCGAGAAGGCAAGGCGAGAAAGAACATTGGTCTAAACATACCATATTTCTTCTTCTTCTTCACTGTTCAGGAGGCCTGGCAGATTCAGTGCAATGGCTGTCTTCAAGTGTCTTATCTTGCTGGCCTTGGGTGTCTGGAGGCTTTATTTCCTGCTGCTCAGCAACATCTTGACCAGTAGGTGTAACAGAAAGCAATCCATTCTGAGGAAATTCTACATTGATTGCCTCTGGAAACCCTGTGGAAAAGAGTTGTCCTACTGCTGTCTCTGTGTTTCCATGGATAATCTGATGAGCGGCATGAATATGCTTTCTCTGGGCCTGCCTCACTGTTCAGAAAAAAGAAGGGAGAGGGAAAGGCCAGTTATGGGATGGGAAAGTTCAGCCCTTTTCTTTCTGCCCTCTCCATGGAAATGCACATATGAAGATGACAGTCTTCCAAAGCCCTGGATCACAACTAAATCTACTCCAATATCATACAGGGTCCTGATGGTGCAGAACCTCAGCCGATTGGGATGTGTCAGTCATTCTCCTGCTACGAGAGATATGACATAACTGGGAAGGGGAACTAGCTGTTTCTCATCAAACATGCCCCAGTGAAGTCTTAACAAGGCAGAAATTATTTCTCTATATTGAGACACAAGCTAAGTCATCTGAAAGACAGAATACAGTGGTGAGATAAGCATGAAAGAGGGAGTAAACAAGTATCACTAGAAGCTAATTGCCAAAGTATGGGATTACAGTTATGTCCTGAAGATGGAAATCAACACCACAGTTGGAAGAACCAAAGGAAGTCAAAGTTAATTTCATAACTATAATGACTTCCAGAACTGTATGCATGCTACTATGAGCATAACACCAGGAACAATACGGGATACTGATAAAGCAGTAACAGAAGAAAAAAATGGCACATAATCTGCCACAGCAAATGAAGCACTTGCTATAACCAGTAGTGCCAATAAGACAGCATGGCCAGTAATAAGTGTTACCAGTTCTATCATAGGATGTAAAGGACTATTCAAGCACTAGAATTATAGCTTGTTCTTGAATGCAGAAAATACAGTGATACCTCGGGATACGAACGCCTCTGCTTGCGAATTTTTCGGGTTACGACCAGCTCTGGCCCCAAAATTTTACCTCGGTTTGCGAACTCCGCCTCGGGGTACGAGCCATTTTCCGCCCGTGCCACGTGGTCCGCGGCCATTTTCTGCCCGTGCCACGTGGTCCGCGGC